GCCCTTCCCCGGCCGGGGTGCTGGGCGGGGGGAGTCGCCGCGGCCCCGCGTGCGCCCTAGGCCGCGCCCCGGGCCGTCCGCCGCCCTCCCTGCGCCCGAGCCCCTCCTCTCCGCCCTCACCTGAGCCCGGTGCGCAACCGCCCGGAGTCCTGGCCCTGGGCGGACCGGTAAATGTTTAACCACATTCCGGGATCCCGGGGCTCCAGCCGCGTTCCCAGTGCTGGGCGGGGGGAGTCGCCGCGGCCCCGCGTGCGCCCTAGGCCGCGCCCCGGGCCGTCCGCCGCCCTCCCTGCGCCCGAGCCCCTCCTCTCCGCCCTCACCTGAGCCCGGTGCGCAACCGCCCGGAGTCCTGGCCCTGGGCGGACCGGTAAATGTTTAACCACATTCCGGGATCCCGGGGCTCCAGCCGCGTTCCCAGCCCCCAGCCTTTGGCCCTCCAGCCCAATCGGAGGTGTGGGGTGAAGGAGGCGGGGAGGGGCCCAGAGGCCCCTACGTCCCGCTCGTCTGTACCTCTTGCCTCCCGGAGCTGCGGGAGAAGCGGCGTGTCCGGGGTAGACTAAGCGCTGCGCGGTGGGCACCGATGCGGTCCTACCTGGATGCCCGCCGTGGCGGGGCGGGGCTGGGAACTCCGGAGGCGCTCCCAGTTCTTGGGGTACGTTCCCACGGCGGCTTGCAGGTGCCCGGTGCGATGGTGACGGTATCCGGTGTCCCTGGAGCCTAGGCGGGGAGAGGATTAGTGTCGAGCGCGGGGCGCGGCGGCTTTGGAGAAGTGGTGGAGGGACTGTCCTGAGCACATTCCTGCATTCCGGGTGGAGAGTAATGGGGTGGGTAAATGGCGGAAGTCGGGGAACAGGAAGGGGGTAGTAAGGCTAGGGAATGTGGGCTTTATGGGGTAGTGGAGCTGCACTGTTTCAAGTCCTCCCTGTCCCGAAGCCCAGCTGGGCCTGCTGGCGACACCACAGCCTGGTCACAGTTGCCTGGCCCTGCCCTAGGGGAGGAGGGTGGAGGGTTCCTATGTAACCTGAGGGTAGAGGGCCTGCCAAGCAGACAGGTAGGGAGAGGGTAGGAGAGCTCCGTGGGAAAGTCAGGCCGTGAACCCCTGCGGGCTTACCAGGCCGGCGAATGGGGAAGCCAGGGTTAAGGAAGAGGGGCAGAGAAGGAACCTAGCCTGGTGATCAGGCTTTGGATGCCATCCCAAGGACAGTGTGGTGACAGGCTTGTGCCAGCTGAGACCTGCTCAGATGAAGGACTTGGTGAGCACTCTAGGTGAAGGACTCTGAGGAGGAGGCCAGACCTCCAAGGAGAGGCCAGGGGCTGGAAGAAGGAGGCCAGACCTCCAAGGAGAGGCCAGGGGCTGGAAGTAGGGGCAGAGGAGGAGGCGAATACAGGGAGTTTCCCAGACTTCTTCCCTGGTGAGCCCAGACTGTTCTGCTCCTGAGCATGGCCCTGTCCTATTGGCACTGGGGACAGCCCCTTCCCCAGTGACTTTACTAATCAGCCTCTTGCCTTTGTTACCCCTTGTTTACTCTTTGATAATGGATGTTTATAAACCTCATTTTTCTCTGTTTGAGCCTTCTCCCTGGACCATTGCTTCCTCCAAGATGAAGGGCAAGAGGAGAAAGAATGGTATCCAGGGGTCTGCCTGGAGCCCCAGCCAGCTACACAGCCTTCGCTGGGCTGGGCTGTGCAGCCATGAGGTCAGGTATGGACAGTGGCATTTGCCTAATTAACAGGAGGCTGAGAGACATGGACACACTGGGTGACCTGACCAGTGATTGGGAGCTGAGAGCAGAGCCAGTAGCATCTTTAGGCTTCATCAAGTAAGAGTGACACTCACTTAGAACCACTGAGTGGAGGGGAAGCTCCCCTCAGTTCAAGCTAGGACCCCACATAGACCAAGTAAGGAAAACCGGGGAGGGAGATGACATTTCCCCCAAAGTTATCCAGAGCATGTGGGGAAACAGGAGTCTTTGTGTGCTCAGTTGTTGGGAATGTAAAATGGTTTGAGCACTACAGAAAGAACAGAAATTTTCAGGTTGGCGTATGTTCCAGCAGCCCCACTTCTGGGTATACACCTAAAAGAACTGGGAGTTTGGGCATGAACAGATGTATGTGCACCTGTTGCCACAGACTTGAGGGTTTTGGCTCAGAAGTTATAGAAATGAATGAGCCAAGTGTATAGGGAACGCCTTTAATGAGGCCTTGACTGTTGTGTGTAAAGGAGTCAGCGTAGACCAGGCCACTCTGGGAACTAAGGAAAGGCAGGCCTTTATTGGTTTGCTGGGATGGGTTACTGGCCATGCCTGAAGGACTGTAGGTGCTCAGGAGCACCAGGGTGTGGTAGGCACCAGAGGACTCTAGGGGCTAAGACTGGTACCAGTGCTGAAAGACAGAGTTTCAGTTTGGGAAGGTGAAGAGACCCTGGAAATGAGCAGTGGCTACACAGTGTATGTGTTAACACCCCTGAGTTCTTGAAGTGGTTAAATAGTCGTAGCATATTGTTTTGGACATCTCGTTACTGTGACAAGATACATGACAGAAATTATTTAAGAAAGGGAAGATGTATTTTTAGCTCATAGTTTCAGAGATTCTAGTCCTTCATGGCAGGGAGGGCGCAATGGAGTGGTTCCTGTCATGGTCCTGAAGCAGAGAGGCAGGGGAGGGCTTGCCTGCGCTCACTTCTCTGTTCCTTTTATTCCATCTGAACCCCTAACCTGTTGATTGCAGCCCGCATATTCAGGGTAAGTCTTCCCCACTTAGTTAATCCTCCCTAGAAATGACCTCACAGATACACCCAGACACACCCGAGATGTGACTTACCAGTCTCTTTTCTTTTTTTAAATATGTGTGTTCATGTGTGTGCAGGTGCATGTGTGTGGAGGCCAGAGCATAACTGCAGGTGTCATCCTCAGGAATGCTGTCCGCCGCTTTTGAAACAAGTGTCTCTCATTGGCCTGGAGCTCACCAGTTAGACTAGCCTGACAGGCCAGGGAGCCCCAGGGATCTTCCTGTCTCCACCTCCCCATGGCTGGGTTTACTAGTGTGTGTCTCTGCCTGGCATTTTTCTGTGGATTCCGGGGATTGAACTCAGGTCCTCCTGCTTGCAACATAAGCACTTTACTGACCAAACTATCTCATTCTTTTTTTTTTTTTTTAAGATTTATTTCTTTTAACTGTATATGTCTGTGTGGGTGTCTACAAGTGCCTGCAGAGGCCAGAGGTGTCAGATACCCCAGGATCTAGATTTATAGGCGGTGGGTGCCTAACCCAGGTCCTCTGCAAGAGCAGTAGGCTCTCTTAACCGCTGAGCCATCTCTCCAGCGCCAAGCGCTCTCCTCCTTAGTGGCACTAACCCTTTCAGCAGCCACACTTCCCTCAGCACCAATTGGACATGCTTTTCTTTCCTGGACAAACTTCAAGTTTTCTAAGCCTTTCTACTGTGTCTTGTTCTGGATTCTCACTCAAAACTTGGCTGAAAGCAGCCAGAAATAAATCTGCCACAACTTGAGTTCTAGGCTGTCTTGAAATTCCCTCCTCCATCAGGGTAATGTAGTATGTCCCCTTGGAATTCCTAACAAGGCTCAGAGCATGGACTCAAAGCAAATAGGTTCTTTCCTACTACATAGCTGAATGCCTTTGGTCCAATTCCCCAGGCCTCAGGGCCTCTGAAACTCCATTGTCCACCTTTCTGTCAACGCCCAGGTCTTTTAAGCTCCTGTCAGAATCACCCCTTGTTCTGTTCTTACATAGTACAGGTCTTCTCTGGCCCACTGTATTAGCCAGAGTTTTCTACAGAAACAGCCAATAGAATGAATATTCTGTTTCAAAGGGGATTTGTTAGATTGGCTTGCAG